TTAGAGTGACCGAAGGCTCAGTCATTTTGAATGTTTACACATGATAGCCATTTTGGATTTTAAAGTGATAGCATTCTCATTCAGATTCCAGAGACCTCAGAATAGGCTCTGTTTGCCAAGGACAGCAGGGAAATATGGGAGGCAGACAATGGGAAAGGAGACAGGTGGTGAGGGTATAAGTGCTGCCAATTAGCAAATAGAGGAGCAGAGCACAGTACCCTGCTTATGTAGATAACATAAAAACAAAACAAATAAAATGAAAATTGTGGGCAGAACACTCCAATATACAATCACCAATTAAATATAAACAGAAAATAGTCACAATGCCTCAGGGACAACAGAGCATCAGAGTCCATACAAAGAAGCAAGATAAAGCAGAAGAAACAAGGGACAAGGATACAGACCCAAAACACATCCCTGAGGAGGAAACAGCATTGGAACTCCTTGATACGGAATTCAAAAGAATTATTTTTAGATACCTTCAATGAATTGAAAGATCAATGAAAACACTGACAAAATTGAGGAAAACACAGAGAAAACCCTAGAACTACTTTGAAACACAAAACAAGAATAAAGTTACAAAATAAATGAAAAATGAGGAATGATACAAAATCTACAGATAGAAATCCAAAGGATTAATAATAAATTTTCAGAAACAGATAACACTTTGAAAAGGCAAAGGAGTAGAATTGAATCAATGGAAGACAAAATTAGTGAGATTGAAGGCAAATGCCTCAATACTTCTTTGGAGAGGGAATAATCAGAAAAAAGATGAAAACAAAATGGAGAAAGCCTAAGGTTCATGTGGGATAAAATCAAAAGGAATAATCTACATGTAGAGGAATTACAGAACAGGAAGAGGCAAATAAAACCACAGAGAAAATTGTCAAAGATTAGTTGAAAGATAATTTTCCTGGTATGTTGAAAGATGAGAATATACCCATTCAAGAAGTACAATGAACACCAAATAGGACAGACCCCAAAAGAAAATCACCAAGACATATCATCATCAAACTCACTAACCAAAGACAAAGAAAGAATCCTAAAATCAGCATGGGAAAAACAAAAA